GGGCGGCTCACACAACATAATCCAACTTTGCCAGCTGGATTTTCATGATGCACTAAGCCACAGCCTATCAGAGCACATTTTAGCTTAGTGTGTGGAGGAACTCAGCCAGAATGCAATTTCTTTGGTTTGGGCTTTAATGAACTGCATGTACCTAGACATTGTGGTTTCTACACAATGGAGCATAACAGTTGTGGTTTCTTCAATAAATCATGGTTCAACAAACACGTTCAGTGCAATGTGTGAACCAAGCTGTCTTCTTCATGTGCTGAAGTACCTGCTCAAGGTTAAAAAAACTTTGGTTCTTTCTTGTCCGTTCAAAATAAAACAGAAGGCCTGTGGCATAAACGGGTTCACTGATTATACTAAACCATAATATGGCTTATTTCATAATAATCCACTCAGTCCTAATGTATTCAACAATCATGTTATGGAAATCATAGCTTAATGTATGAACCCAGTTATAATGTTCCCCCTTTGGGAAGCAGACCAAAAAGTGTTGTTGGACAATCCCAGGGATGTCTACTCACAAGTCTGATGAAGCTTATTTCCAGGCAGATGTATATATGATCCAACCTTTTTTGTAAATGAGAAGCTCTACCTCATGTGACACACTTAATGATCTTAATGAATGGGATACAAGCTTTCTAAAACTTTTACATTTTTATAAATTGCAACTCCTGTAGAAAATAAATCAATATCCTTTATTGGATCAATTAGCAATAAAAAATATAGGATAAAACAAAATATACCTATAAAAATATGGGATGACTCTTCCATAGATCACAAAAAAGGAGAAAGACTACACCATTTATCCATTTTCCACACATCGAGAAAAAAATACAAATAATGTAAAACAGTTGAGTTTTGATGTAGTTAACTCTCATTATTTTTGTTGGCCCAAATTAGTACTGAAGCTTACTGTAGTGCCAAATATACAGTAGTTTAAAAAACCATAGATAAGTTTGCTATCGGGAAATATATATAAATTCTAAATTTGAGCAACACTTTTTATTAGGAGTAACCAAGATGTCACAAAATAGTGCATATGCAAGATTTCAAATTTTCCAGTGTTCCTTACAAGCAACGGAAAAGGCAGGAAATAAACCCCTCAAAGTAAGTCTGATTTTCCTGTCTCGAGGCTGGCTTTTCAACCGGTCTAAGCTACGGAATGTAAACTGAATCACAAGTTAGATACGGCAGGAATCAGATTACGGGACAAAGAAGCTGCGGCTCCACCCCTCTGTCGAAAACAGGAGAGCTAGCTCAAATCTTTCTACTAAGTTTGCAAATGCCTTTTATACCATATCCAGGTATGCTGGACCTTTGCCCACTTAAACCATGTCGCTCACCTAAGAAGTGTTATGGAGACGTTCGAGAGCATCTCGAGGAGGTAAACGGAACGATTTGCATTTCCACCGCAGTACGTTTAAGAAGAGTACAGAACGCCTGACTTCCGCGCAAGCCAACTGCAGGCATTCAAGTCTCACCCATCCCTGATCCCCATTCATTTCTTTCTATCCTCCCTTCCCGCGCTCGGCGGGTTGATACACAAGATTCTAGAAGCCCCGCCTCCCTCTCCAATAAGCTCGTCGCATTTCAGCCCCGCCTACTAGAGCGGCTTATAAAAGGCCAAACTCCAAGATCGATTTAAAACAAATTTAAAAAGTCATATGCGGTAAGACGCCCCGTCAGTCAAGCATTTAGCGTGTAAATCTTAAATTTTCAGAACCAATCCGCTGCAGATTACGTCTGTTATGGGTCGCACGGCTCTGCTGCCATACACTGCGTGCGTTGCATTTTGTATGTGGCAGTCGTGCAGCTGGATGGTCCGTCTTAAGTTGTTTGTTTTTCCATAGCCATAACATACTGCGGCCGGTCCACGGGATAGTCCTTGAGCTCTATTGGGAAGAGGGCTACCAGTGGCTGCATAACGGTGGCTTACTGTCGTGATCCAGTTTTCTGAGGTCCGCGACACACTAAACCCCAAACTAACCACAGAACTGGGTAACTACGCTATCCAAAATTAAAAGGACAGTAGTTGGTTACTTTGTGGTCTGTGTCGGGAAAACACAACTCGTTGTGGATTAGAATTAGCAGATCTGCTCTGCCAAACTCCGGGGGACCGCTAGATGGTGCTATGTAGCGCCCGTGCGGATTTTTGTAGTACCGTTGAGGGGAAAGAAACCGAGGCTGAATTAGTGGGTTGAAAGCAATGGAGAAGTGTTCGTTTTGCGGCCTAGATATTTTGAATCTTACAATAACTCCTCCCCCGGCAATAAAAATGTCAGTAACGTCTCCATTTTGGGGGAGATGAGCAATTGGGGGGGGGGCGTAGCTTCATAGGCCACCTTTCTTCTTTGGGGCCTAGAAGGGCTTTTTGAACAGTGTAAGAGTAAAGCGTGAGGACCCCAAGTTGTTTATTCACTTTCCTACTGTTCTCTCTCCTTTTCCACCGAAGCAACTGGAGGACTTTTCAAAGGCGATGAATTAAAAACAAAACAAAAAAAGTTGGCACCGACAATTAAACTATGAATCCTAGTCGGTAGTTGTGCCTCTCCCGAAAGCTGCCCTGCGTGAACTCCAGCACAATCACTGAAAAGCTTGTCGGCGGCTGGGCACGTTTATTCAGCGATAAATTTCACTCGGGCAGCGCCCCCCCCTCCAGAAAAAGAAGCCAGGAAAGCGTTATTTAAATCCACCCACTGAAACCAACAGGCTCGGGAAAGGGAAAGGCTGCTTCCAAGAGCGCCAACTCGTACGCCTGACGCGAAGGAGGGAAACCTCTCCTCGGAGGTTGACAAACTCGGTTGCAACGCTCCGGAGGCCGCTTCTCCTTTAAGCGGGGCCGGCCTGGCTCGCTCGCGCTTTCCCTCCCTCTCAGGGCCCGCCTCCTCGAGCACGACACGCCGCTCTGATGGCGAAGCCTCTTTTTAATTGAGACTGTCAGGCTGGATTCACGATGGAGCGCGAGGGGGGACGTGGTGGATATCGGAGCAGCAGCCCAGCCGCCTGAGCCCGACCGAGGGACCGCAGCTTCTCCGGGGGAGGGCCGGCTGCCAGCGGCGCTTGGCAATCCGTAGCTCCGCCGAGGACCTTCCTCCCCAGAGGTGGGAAGGGGAGCCGGAGGACTCGCTCCCCCGCGCCTCCCGCTTTCTCCGCTGGCAAGCGGAGGGGAAGCCGACTGGCGGCGGCGGGCGGGAGAGCGGGCGAGCCGGCCGAACGCCGACCCCTTCGAAGCGGCCGGAGCGCGACCCCCGCGACCCCGCTTGGGGCCGCCTTTTCTCCTTTTCGTTCACTTTCCTCCGACGCTTCGCTCCCGGGAGGGTTCGGAAACGGCGGCGGAACGCCTCTCCCCCCCGAGAGTAGCGACTGGTTTTCGGCGCGCGCGTCCCTGCTGCCCCGCTCCTTCGGTCCTCGTCCCCTTGTCGTGCGATCCTCATGAAAAATCACATCTGGGGCAGCACCCCCCGGGCGCCCATGGCTGCAGCGATGCCGTGGAAGAGCGTGGAGTGGCTGCAGGAGGAGCTCGAGTCCAGCGGGGGCAGCTCGCTGCTGCTGCTCGACTGTCGGCCCCACGAGCTCTTCGAGTCCTCGCACATCGAGACCGCCATCAACTTGGCTATCCCGGGCCTGATGCTCCGGCGCCTCAAGAAGGGCAATCTGCCCATCCGCTCCATCATCCCCAACAACGAGGACAAGGAACGCTTCGTCAAGCGCTGCAAGGCAGACACCGTCCTGCTGTACGACGAGTCCACGGCTGAGTGGCAGCAGGACGGCGGGGCCCCCACCTCCGTCCTCGGCCTTTTGCTACAAAAACTCCGCGACGACGGCTGCAAGGCGTATTATCTGAAAGGTAAATGAGGAGGGGTCTTACTTGGAGCCCTCAGACCTCCTGCCGCAGGATTGGCGAGCTTTTCTCCCTTCGTCCTCCCTTTCTTCTACCAGCCGGGCTCGAGGCTATGGGTCCCCAGCCGGAGCAGCTGGCGTGATTCCCGCCTAATCGCAGCCCCCTCCTTATTCGTTCTTATCTCTCCATTTCCCTCTGTCCTCCCACCCTGCACTGCCTCTTTCCCAATCTTAGTTGTTTTCTGCCCTTCCCGGAGGTTTTCCTCCCGCAGAAAAGGTAGAAAGGGAATGTCGGCGTTTAAAACAAAAAACACGCGAAGGACAATTTGTTCGTTTGGATTCGGCCAAGCAGGATCTTGCTCTTGCTTTCATCTCCCGTTTGATTAATTGTTGTTTTGCAAAATGGTTGCATGTGCTGAGTATTGTACACGCAGGTACTGGCCTTCGGCCCCCTCTTCTTGGTTCGCTTCTCTCCTCCCCCTTCGGTAGGAACTGGAAAATGTTCTCCCTTGCTAAACTCTCCTGGGAGACATCATTCTCTCCCTCCAGAAAGAGAAACACCGTTCTGGTGAGATTCTTCCATAACTATGAATGGGGAAGGTCCAGTAAAGCCTGCTTCATTCTGACATTCGGTGGTGGTTTTTTACACCAGGCTTTAAATTGCTCCTTCCCTCTATCAACCAGCAACCTTGGTTTTTAAAGAGAGAGGGAGAGTATGTGGTCCCGCTTTGGGTGTATTATTAAAAGGGACTCTCTGTGGATGTTGGACTACGGTTCTGGTAAGTCACAATGGTCACTGGTCAAGGATTTTCAGAGTGATCATCCAGCAGATCTGGAGGGCCCTGCCATGCCTTTCCAGCCAGCTACATTTTCTCCTCTTCCCTCCTGTCTTGGTGGCCTTTAGCAGCTCTTCCCTCTACAGATGGAGAGGGAGGAGCTGACAGCAAGGAATAGCGGCTCTACCCCTTGTATCACTGCCAGGCTAACTTTGTGCAATGGTCCCATTTGCTCTAAAATACGGCTTTTGCGATACGCAGTTGATCAAGAGGAGTGGCTACTAACAATCTGGAGAGGAAGCATTATTCACCGTAGGCAGTTTGTCATTCTGTTTTTTAATTCAAATTTGTTCAACAGATTAATCTCTTGTGTCTGGAAACTATGTTCAGGAGCTTTTGCCCTGCTTCCTCTTCTGTGTCTTTGAAGGCCTGACTGGTAGGTCAGCCTTTGCCTTTGAGCAGTGGCTTGAGCTAGATGACGTTTCTGGCCCTGCCGCATTGCATTGGGCTCTGCCTCTCATTCCCTGAAGTTCATTTTGAATGAAGACCTTAATTCATTAAACTCTCCATTCAGCTTTCCTAAAACACTCTCCTCCCCTGGAAGCATTGTGATACAGTTACTCTGAGTGAGTGCCAAGGTAAGGATAATTGCCTTTTCCCAGGGCGCATACCAGCCTGATCACTTGGTGGCAGGATTGAGGCAGAAATAGAAAGTGATGCCAAGCCAAAATTGTCACTCTCTCTGTGTAAGTAAAATAAAAATTACAGATTTCCAAAGGGCAAGAGGAAAGGGAAGTAGTAAATAGTGTAGGAGAAGGAAGAAATTCTTCTTAGGACCTGAGATCCCTTTTTGTATGTATGTATGTATGTATCTACTTGTCAATAGTTGAATGAATGCTTCCCTGCGCATTGCCCCAATTTTCCTCTTTCAGTATCTATCTTAGTACATGTAATGTATGTTTTTAAAATTATTTAGCCCAAGTGCTGTATTAATACCCTCATCTTCTTTCCCCTTGACAGTTCCAGTTCCTTTAAACTAGCCTATTCATAGGAAAAAAATGAGGAGTTAAACTGATAATTTTCTCTATCTTTCTCCCCCCTCTTCTGTTTAGGAAGGGGCCTGAATGGGAAATGTTTCCAATTAAAATTCCAAAATGGCTGTTTCATATTGTCTTTCTTTTTCAGGAGGGGGAAAAAGAAACCCGATTCTCCCCTTCCTGTTTATGAATGAATACGGCTGAACTTTGTTTGGTGACTTTATCACAACTGTGCCAGGCCATTTAAATATCCATGAGTCTTTTATAATGTTACTGATTTATAAAACGTTGCTTGGATGCCTATTAATGATCCAGAAGAGGATTTCGGGTTCTCTTATGTACATAAAAAGAACATTGAACGTAGTTAAACATTCTTTGTGCACATTTCTATGCACGTAGCTCTTTAACTATATCATAGGTAAATGTATGGTTAGCTATTTAGCTGATGGCAAGCAATATTCACATATTTCAGTTTTGTTAACAAATGAAGTTTCCATTCTTGTCTCAAATTCTCCTTCAGATACAGATTGGCTTCTGTATACCTGCTATTATTTTCCATTTATTGCTTGTCCATTTAAAGCTAAACCAATTCCCTCTAATTCATGTCTTTAAACATTCTTTGATAGGTAAACTGGAAACCTCTTATTCTCAGGATTGTCACCTTTTTCAACAGGACCTCTGTAAATGTGTGCTGGTAATCATTCAGCAGGTGAAGCATCTTATAACTGAATAGTCTTGAAAAAGCTACAGCTGCTGAATTTCTGCCTCTTACAGAGTTACTAAGAACACAGGAGCCCCTCAAGAAAAAATGGGTAACCTTTGTTTCTATACTTATGTGAAATCTTAATTTTGTTACTTTTTCTTTTAAATCAAGAAGGAATGGCATCTCTGTGTAAGTGCTTCCTTAAATTGGTTATCCACATTTTCTTAAATAATGCCTGATGAATGACTCAATACTTCTTTAGTTGCTTTCCCCTTCCCTCTCCTGTGAGAAAACTGTTGAGGAAAAGGTCCTGACCTAGTCTTCTCATTTATATACTACTTATCAGTATTTAGGAATTAAACATATATCCACAAATTAAAAAAAGAAAAGGATTATGGAAGACTTCATTTGCTACAGTCCAAACTAGAGTTCCAGAAGTGATATTAAGGCAATATCTTTCTAAGGCCAAACAAGTTTTACAAAATAACATTCAGATTTCTGAGTTCTCCAAACTCTTCCTTAGGCAAAATCTAAACACAGGGGTAGTGGGTGTAAGAAGACAGCTTGCTGAAGTTGAAAGTGTGGACTCTGCATTTTGTCATTCTTTTAAGATGGGATGGGAGAAGAGGTTGCAGTCATTCAAACTGGGCTTTGGCTGATGTGATGCAGGCTGCATCTAGGACTGTACTTAGTATTGTTGGGGTGAAGAAGCAACATGTGTGGTGCACCAACTTTTAAAATATAAAATCTATTAGCTTGATTTCTCTCTATCTTTAGTTAAAATGCTCAGGCACAGTTTCAGGAAGAGCTAGGCTCAAGAGACAAAGCAAAATGGGAGACTCCAGCAACACAATTCAGTTAAATCAGTGCCACTTAAAATGCAATTCTAGGCACTTTTACTTGGCAACAGCAGTAAACATAATAGGGCTTTAAGGAAATGTATGTAAAATTGCACTGTGCTGTTAAAGTTCTTGCTGTATTGGCACCACCTTTAGGATTCTTAACATTTGACTGATTTCTGCTCAGTGCGATCTGTAGACAGTAACAGTGATAAGGCTTGTCTCCATGGTATGAAAACTTTCTGATTACTGCATGTTAGGCTGCTGTTTAAAATTGAGGAACAGGCCAGGCCTGTGCTGATGAGTTGGCAGCTGAGATTACTCTGGTAGAGGTTGAGAAAATCAGGTAGCAGCCTTATACATACTTAACTGAAATAAGTCCAGCTGAATTTAAACTTAAAATTGTCTTAAGCTTCTGAGTGTGCAAATCTTATTTCTGCAAGTAGGGTTTCTTTTTGTGGAACCCAGTGTGACTCAAGCTCTGTTGCTGTTAAATGTATATATTCATGCATTGTTAATCCTGTTTTAGTTTTAAAATTGATTTTATACTCATGGAATCTTCTAGCACCCCCTCTGGGAAAATGGTATTTTACAGCATGGAATTCATTTCTTTAAATCCACAATCATAGTTTGGGAAGGTTGTATATAAAGAGCAACTTCTAAAACCTCACAACTTTTAGTTTTAAGAAACATGGCATTAAAACGTATCTTCTCTTCACCTCCCACAGGTGGATTCAATAAATTTCAGACTGAATACTCAGAGCATTGTGAAACCAATCTCGATAGTTCTTCTCCTGCCAACTCTCCTCCTGCCTCTGTCCTTGGTCTGGGAGGGCTGAGGATAAGCTCTGATTGCTCAGATGGAGAATCTGACCGGGAACCCAGCAGTGCCACAGAGTCTGATGGGAGCCCAATCCCAAACAACCAGCCGGCTTTTCCTGTCCAGATTCTTCCCTATTTGTATCTGGGTTGTGCCAAAGATTCCAGCAACTTGGATGTCTTGGGCAAATATGGCATCAAGTACATTTTGAACGTCACTCCCAATCTTCCCAACATGTTTGAGCATGACGGAGAGTTCAAGTACAAACAGATTCCCATCTCGGATCACTGGAGTCAGAATCTCTCCCAGTTCTTTCCTGAGGCCATCGCTTTCATTGGTAGGTGCTGGGCATCCTATTCTTGACTGAACAGCCCCTTTAAGAGTAGTGTTCTATTATAGTCCAGCTGTTTTCTGCTGTTGCTACTGTCTGCCTGCCATAAATTCATCTATCTAAGTTTACACTTGGTAAGTGTAAGTTAGTAGGTACTGGTAAGTGTGCCAGTGTTTACACGCTTTGAATATAACTGAGTGTGGCTGCACACTTTATTCCAGTTAAAGCCAAAAGGTTATTCTCCATCTGACTTCAGTGAATTAGAAATCATAACCTTTGGAATAGATTTACAGGGAAAGAATTGGGTAAAGCTTTTGATTTCTGGTTCAGAGGCTCAGCTCTGCCCAGTGAATTATATATTCCTTTTTCTGAGTATTATATGTTAGGCAAAAATCAATTCCAACCAAATTCTTACTCATAAGTTAATTGTTGGAACTTACATGATCAGTGTGGTTCCATGGTATGCTGATTAGACTTTGTGGCAGAGTTCCTTAGGAGAAGAGAGTAACTTCCTTTGCCTTTCTGTCTCCTGGAATTCCTCCACACTGCTAAGTATCTACCATGGGACCCTTGTGTCCTATCAAAGTTGCCAGCCATTTCTGGTGTTCACATTAAGTAACCTCAGAAATTCTCAGGGCAGTTTTAAAATCACAGAAGAGAACTTGGCTCTGGCTTACACAAGCAACACACATCCCTGCCCTCCACCATTTGATTATTAAAGTTGGAATTGATACATATTGGTTCATTAACATGTTAGAGTCATCTAAGGACATTCATGTGTGAACCAGCTAGTATTGCTGTAGGTGTTATTGGGCCCTCATAACTGTTTGAAGCAGAGAGCTAAAATCTCAGATTCTTATTTAAAAATTAAATTTTCTCCTTCAGTATTTCTAGTCCATTTCGTTTTCAAAATTGCATTTGTACTGTAGTTTATTTGCCAAATTACAAATGCTACAAATGATGCAGCCCCAGGGCTCTTTTATTATAGCAGCAACATATGCTTGAGTAAATTGTTAAATGTAAATAAGTCAAAGCTTGTGTTCTTCCTGATATTCCATGTATTCTATGTTAATATTTTTATGAAAAATGTAGGCATAGATATTGATTTCCAGAGAGATACAGGCTGGTCTTTTTTGTATTGCTTATGTCAGTTGATCAAGAGTGTCGTATTTGCTTAAAGGCGTGTTTGTGGAATGTGGTATTTAGATACTAGCTTAGTCAAAAACATCCTTTCCTATACAAACCACAATTTGGTTTTTAGGACAGGAAATGATTACCTTACTATTCGCTACAGATTAAAATAGAAAAAAAGACTTGTGTTCAAATAGAACACTAGCACACATTTGGGGAAACCTTTTCATTTAGGAGACAGTAGTGGTGAGTGGTCTGGCATTGATTAATGTCTTGGACAATGATATGAGATGAAAAGCCAGCAAGTTCATTCCTTGAACTTTCTTTGATGTCATAGAATTTATGAGCTTTCACTTTCTATTCTTTAGCTAAATTAGGTATTTTCCAGGCATAAAATCCATCCCTGAACAGGTGTCCTCTAAAGTCAGTCACACTGATATAAATGGAATGGGTTACTGTACTTGTATAAGTAGAATATGTTGGATCCAATGATAATATTGAATGCTGTTCCACATTCATATATATATATATGAATG